AGCTAAAAGCCAAAACAAAAGGAGAAAACTCGTATCCTCGATTCCCACACAGGCTTCAGCCTTCCCAGTCTACCAAAACAAAAATTCACTTTATCAAATGAAGCAAGCAGCATCCTCTGGATCTGCGAGATGGCGCGCCACCGAGGAAAAAAAGAGGAAGAAAGAAAGAAAAAAAAAAAAAAGAATTAGAAGGAAGAGTCCGTTATCGCGGGCTCGAGGCATCGGGAATCTCGCGCAGAAGCAATGGATCGAGCGGCGTTTCGCCGATGCGCGTGAGGCCGCTATCAAACGAAAGACATGTAGGTGGTTGCGAGCCGCGGCGAATCTATCGGATTTAGTTAATGTCCAGCTCTCCGTGGACTCGGATGTCACATTGGTCTGCGACTAGCCATGACAGACGAGCTCCCCTGACTGCACGACACAACACCACAAAACGCCTTCTCCTCTTTTGGTCGACGTTTTTTTTTCTTTTTCTTTTAATTTCATTCGCCGTTCACCGAAGGAACCAGTCTGTTATTCGTACATCGAGTAACCTGTATCCCAACCGACTGATCGATAATACACAACAAAGAAAGAGAGAGAGAGAGGGAGAGAGGGAGAAAGAGGGTAAATCACGTTACTTGATACATACACTCGCTTCTTTTTGACGAGAAAAAAAAAATATGCGTGGATGAATTGTGATTCAATCGTCGTTGAAAAAAAAAAAGAAAGAAATCTGAAAAAAATCATTTCGATGATCCTTGGAAATTCCTTGGCGAATCTTTCCCTTCTCTCTCCGTCAGATGAAAAATTAGTTTTTCCGTATTAATTTTTAACTTTGCAGTTCGTTTGTTCCATTAATCGTTCGATGTTTCGTCAGACAGTTTTGTTTCCTCTGTCAGACGTCTGATTGTCGTTTGATATTTACCGGTGATTAATCGCGGAAACGCTGTGAACGCGCGTGACTGAACGATACGTCGAAGCGACCGGCAGCAGAAAACACAGTCGATCCACGTGGACTCGACCTCGCGTCTCGCGGACTCGTGATTGAGAACTCGGTGAAAATTGGTGAAAACGAGAAAACGTGACTTTATGAGAGGCATCGAAGACACGCTGGCCTCGAGAGACGAGCGTCTCTCTCATTCACCGATCGCTGGATCCACAGGATCATCGCGTCTCATTGTTCAGGTAAGTCGCACATTTTCTAATGTCTCTTTTTTTTCGATCTTGTTGAAAAGAACTTTTTGTCCCGGAAAGAAACGAGTGACGTTTCGAGGCGGAAAACGGAGGGAATTCATAAACGAATTGTTCGTAGATAATTAAGTTGAATAATCGCGTTTCGTTGGCGTTTAGCGACGATCGTGTATAATGTGCGTCGATTCTGCGCGAACACAGATGCCGAGCGTAATTGCATTTCACAGCCAAAAGGTTCGCCGAGAGTATCGGAATTTAAATTCGAAATTCGGCCGGAGACTCAGTCTCCCGTACAGGCTGCACAAAGTGTTTGCACGCCATTGTATTTACGGCAATATTCACACGACGGTTAATTAGATCCAAGTGTATTAAATTTCCTGTCATTCAATATGTATTCAAAATTCAATGCTACGAATAAATTGCGTGATAAATGAAACGTTCCGTTTGGTAAATAAATTGTACGCGCTTAAATACTTTCCGCGAGTATATTTACCGATAGATCAGTCCATTTATGTCTAATTATTCCACACGGCGAAAGCAAACGTCAAACTTTTGCCGTGTGTGTGTGTGTTTGCGTGTCGCGACAAGGCTTTCAAACTGAATCAGCGGTTCTTCAATTGTTTCGCGCGACACAAAGGGACGATAAAAGAAGAAATCGTGGATAAAAGATCCTCGAGACTTGCTCTTCCTTTGTTTTTGTTAGAATTTTTGAAACGAAGTAGTAAATAAATCAGGCACGTTCAACGATCAATTACCGATCAGTGGTATCAGCGGCACAGTTGAAAAGGAAAGATACACAATCTAAATTACTCTAATCCCGGTCGATAGCCAGTTGCCAATAATCTTCGATGTCAGATTTAAAAAAAAGTTGCTCAATTTTTTCGTACTTGCACGTCACTGAGGAAACATTTCATCGTTCGTTTTATTTCACACGCGTCGTTCATTCATGGAACATTTTATTTTGCACGCAACTCTATCAGGTTCCTCTGCTATCCCAGATATTCGTGATTCATCGGCTTCCGGCGTGGAAACACAATTTGAAATTTATTATCGAATAATCGTACACGAACGCTAGAGCGTTGATGGAGTTTCGCCGTAAATTCAAATTGAAATTTGCAATTCGGGAAACTCGATGTCTCTACAGTAACAGCCGACGCGTTAAATGCTCTGGTCCTATGATCCTTGACCTTAAAACCTAGAATTCCGGACGAGACTCACGCTGAATCCTCGATCGGCTTTTCATTGACTTCCCGCGAGATCAAGCGACCCATCGTTCGACTTCGAAAGCTTCAAAAGCATCGTGTTCATTGGTTTTCTCGATCTGTTATCGATCGAGTTATTCGAAAATTTCGGACAATGCGATTTATGCTCCAAGATTTATGTATCGTGTTGTTCAAACATCGAGCACGTCGTTCGAGTCGGTGACTATTTATTTCCGGGCAATATTATTTCTCTTTAAAGAATTTACATTGATTAATTTTTACTTTTACACGAGGAACGAACAATTTTCATTTCAGTTTGTCGAAACTGCATATTCAACTATCACTGGCAATGAAAAAAGAGTTCATTTTTTCATCTCTTCGAAATGTTGCGCCCGTAATTTAAAGTAAATTGTTGTTCCCATAGGAACGTGGAAATTCCTCCGTGGGAAATCAATTTTTTCCGTATAGGGACGTATATTTTCGGCTTATAAAAAGACGAGACCTCGTCTTGCTCGTCTTACACCGAACCATAATTACCAAAATTGTAATTGCGACTCGCGCGCAATTGTCTGCGAAGTTAAATTTTAATTACATTAGTCTAATCTTCGATCTATACGAAGCTCGCTGCTTTCGAAATTACCCTTCCATTTCAGATTTCTGTTTGGCTACTCGTTCTTTGAACGAGCTTCGACAAACAGAGAAAACAATATAGATAAGCGGGAAAGGTGGCACGGTTCCACGTATAATTAATTGAATCCCATAAAACGTGGGTGCAATATACATTCGTAAAAAGTTCTCTGCTCGATCAAACACGTTCGAACATTTTCGCAATGTATCCCTCACGGACGTTAACGCGCGCTCGAGCATTTGCCGGCACGTTCATTACAATAAATCATACGATCTTTTTTACGATAATGAGCTCAAGGTTGTACGTATACCGTGCCCGAGGACCATTTACTCCGATCTTCCACGGCTAATAACGGAATTTTCATCGTGGAACTATAGGTTTTTCCCTCGTTGGCCCTGTGAAACTCTCTCGTCCTCTTTCGTTGACGAGTCCTCCGGGAGTGGAGAGGGGAGGGGGGGCGGGAGGGGAGAATTTCTGTACTCCTTTGTACTGAATTCTGTGGAAATGTCCTTCGTTGTCGTAGTTCAAATTATTGTAGCGCAACTTGGAGAAACTTAGGTACAAGGAGAATTGAAACAGGGATTGAATAGCGTCTACGAGTGAATTTATGTTCGAAGATTGTTGAATTCGAAAGAAGATACGTCGCTTCTTTTCCTAGGACAAAAATGTCACAATTCAAAAAAAAAAAAAAAAAAAAAAAAA